AATCTTCTTTGACTCATGATAATGTAAGGAAGTGTGCTCTTCGCCAACCATTGCTCAATAAATTTCTGTTTTAGTCGGAAAATAAAGCGTCAAATCGTTGTCACGTGGAAGGCTGTGCGCATAATTATCTTGCTCGTCGTCATCGTGTACAGTTATATAAAATTCCACGCGATACAACTGTTGCGCGTAAATGGCTCGATGCATGTGGTTTCGAAAATATCCCAGTATCACCGTCAACTGCAACATTCAAAGTGTGCCGTGAACATTTTGGCCAAAATGATTTCGAAGGACCTACTACACTACGTCCTGATGCCATACCCTCGTTTTTCACTTCCTACTCTCGTTCATTAATCGAGAAACAAAATTTGAACGATACAAATTCTTCGACTTCATCAACTCCATCTTCATCCGCGAAACGATTCCGATCAGATATGGCAAATATTCGTGCTAAGCAAACGACACCGATGTCAAACAATACTAATTCAATAAATACGAATAAACGAACATCGTTACCTTATCGAAATAGTGTTAATAATCAATACCAAAGACAATATTTCCATGAGCAACAACAACAACAACAACAACAACAGCAGCAACAGCTTCTCACAACATCACCGTCATGTGATAATCTTGACGAAAATCTTCGACAGGCGGCTAATGATGTGAAACCAACCATAGATGTGGATTTAAATCTGAATTGTCTCGATGATCAATTATCCGAAGCACAATTAGCACATTGTCCTGTTAAAGTAGGTTATTTTACCAGCGGAGTTGTCATTTAAAGATTATTTTTAGGCTCTGGATCGAACAGAATCAACAAACGGTATAGCACCGAAACCTCGTAATCCAGTCGGTCGACCTCGTTTACATCCTCGATATCCTCCAACGACACCTTCGACAACAAATTCCACAGCACGTCGTTCGACGTATCGTACAAACTATGCAGACGAAGATCCTGATGAATTAGATGATCTAGATGAATGGAATAACAATGAGCCTGATCAAGATGATACAGTTCGTGATCGTGATTGGATTAATCGTCAACAAGACGATCGTTTACCTTGGTCTAAACGGACGAATTTGTCGACAAATAATTATGCATCATCGTACCAACGTGGTGGCGGTGGTAATCATACAAATTCTTATCGAAATGTGCGACAATCATCAACACCTCTACAGCAACAGCAGCAGCAACAACAACAACATCGTAATTCATTGAACAATCAACAACGAGCGAGCCGTGGTCAGTTCTATCAAACACAATTTGTAAAGCCAGAACCAGCTCGAAAAGCAACAATACCATTTCTTCAACCAGCTTTTGCTCCAAACGCTTCAACACAATATCCTCGTGACCAACCATTGCCACGTCTCAAGCCAGGCACAGTTAGAACGCGTGGTAAATAACTTGTTTCTACTTTAATACCTCACGAAAAGTTGCTTTGTCAATGTTTTAGAGGAGGGTTTAGAAGTCGAACTTGGTAATTAATCTTCTTTTTTGTGTGTACATCTCAATTCATACTTCTCTTTCATACAGAACATACTTACAAGCGTGCTCTATCGAAATACTATGGTCAAAAACCCGGTCGCAACTTGCCATTATCTGATTATGGTGATTTTCGTAGTCAGGTATATCTTTCACTTCCAAGAAAGGAAATTGCTAACGAGTTCAATCCTTTTCTAGTGTCCAATGTGTGAAAGTCTTCTCTTCGAGAATAATATCCAATTAATTACGCATCTTTGTCAACATCTTGATCAACAGCAAAACGATGAAAACAATCGTGATGAACAATTCCAACCAAATACCAGTTCACCTTTTGAACAAATTAACACCAAATGTGCACATTGTCAATCAGAATTTTCCAATCCATATTTTCTTGCTATGCATATCGACGATAAGCACATGTTAGAAATCAATGAATACCGCTGTCGAATATGTGAACAACGTCATGCATCATTATTAGAATTAGTCGCACATTTAAATCTCTGCCATTGTGGTTTAGAAATGCCATACTCATGTAAAGTCTGCTCATTTCGAACATCAATGCATGCCGATATGATCTATCACATTGATGAAGTTCATAAAGGAACAAGATATTTCTTTTGTCCNTTTGACCATAGTACATTATTATTGATCTTTCTCTCTTCTACTACGTTCGATGCGCGGCATCGAACACTGTTTGTGTGTTTACGTATGTGTATGGGTCTCACGACATTTATCATTTCGATTTCTTCTATGCGTCTATGCAGAATACAACGTTGTGCCTGTTCTATCCTCTTTTTCTTCTGTTTCTTCTTTCGATTATCACATAGAACATTATTTGCACGGCAAATAATTTTGCTTGACAGTACAAAAGAAAGAAATGATAAAGTACAAAAAAACAAACAAACAAACAAGTAATCAATGTACAATAACAAGTTTTGAATGTGATAAAATCAAGAGAAAAAAGCATGGATCTTCTGGAAAGAGAACTACAAATTTCAATGTAGAATTGAGCATCTGTAGGAAACCAAGCAGATTTCATAGAAAGAGAGAAAATCATCCGGTTTGGATCAACTGAGATGTCAAAGAGCAAGTTAGAACTAGTTACTAAATCACCGGCGAGGATACCATCGACTATTGATATGAATCTAAGTGAAATACGAGCTAAAGACTTTGACGGATTCAGTCGAACGTTACCTGTTCGTAATGATTCGATGTTGTAGGTCGACGCCGAATAGTCGCCATGGGTAAATGCTTATTGTGATCAAATTTGAATGGATACGATCGATGATTACATACTAAAATAGACTCCTATCACTTGAAATTTTCTCTTTTTTCATTGACTTACCATTCGTTTGGTGAGAATTATTTCGTTTGAAATCTTCCTGATTGTTTTCCTCATCATCAGTTGTCGAATTCAAAGGATGGTGATAACTGTAGTGTTCTTTGACAGATTTCACATGTAACACACATCGATCACAATATTTAAATAAAGATTCAATGCGACGTTGTTGCTGTTTATTATTACTATTTTCGATTCGATCAAAATGAAGAATGACGTGACGAAAAGCAGGTATTGAATTCAACAAATTCGTATCAGACATTGGCAGTAGCACTGACTGAAAGCAATATGGACAAAAGAAATATTGTGTTCCTTTGTGGATCTGAAAGCAAAAGATGTTTTGTATGTGTAAACATAAACCTTCAATCATGTGGATATACTTGTCGAATGTGATGAGCCATGTCCTCGTACATGGACGTACGATAGTGACACTGATCACAGAAATAAGGCATATCAAGACCGATATGTACTGAATTCAAATGAGCAAATAAATCGACTAAATTCGGATGATTTTGTTGACAAATTCGACAACGATATTCGTTTGTGTCATAGAGATGTTCTTGATCTTTGTGCAGTAGGGTTTGAAAAGGTGTAGAAAATTCTTCGTGACACACCGAACAACGACGGTAGACTTTATCAAATGGACTAATATAGTTAAGATCATCCTCGAAGTGCGAACATAAATGTGCAATGAAAGACATGTTATTAGTTGACTGTTCACCACATATCGAACATTCTACAAGAAAAACATAAGTTAGCTTTGATTTTGTCAGAATAGAATAACGCACTAATACGAAAATCTCCGTAGCTGGATGAATCGACTAGTTGACCATTGCGTGTACCATAGAATCGCGTTAGAGCTGAAGCATAAGTACGATCAAGTGCATCTATTTGTTGATGTCGATGATTAGTCATTGTTGATAATGAATGAAGTTGTGGAGTTGGTGAAGGTTGTGGTCGAACGAAATGCGTTGAGGGTGGTAATCGATTGACTGTCGAAGTTAAATGACCACGTCCACCGCGACCACGACCTTTAAGAAATACGAAATTTCGAAATTGCTGTTTATAATACTAAAATCTCACCTCGACCAATACTTCCATTCACATGACTAGCGCGATTATATGGACGTCGATCATGTTCTGGTAGATAATTTTCATCATCGTCATCATCGTCATCGGATTCACTGGGAATGAAATCTTCGTCCTGATCTCGAAGTATTTCAATATCTTGTGTCGGTACTTTCTTTAATACTGACGTGCGTCTACGAACAGCTGGTAAGGGTAGTGGAGCTGTTGGATCATACGCCTAAACAGATTCGAAATATGTTTTCTTCCTACTGATATATGAAGATACTACTTGTGTTGGATAGTTTTGTAATTGAGTGTCGGTAAGCATATCTTCTTGACATGTTAATTCCAATTCTGGTGTGTCATCGACGATTTTCGGCGAAGATTTCAGCCAATTGTTTGTTTCATTGCTGAAGTGATGATTTTGGTAAGAATGATTTCGATGACTAGATGCATCATTGTGCCAAGAATGGAGTTTCGGTCGATCAACAGTTTGCTTTACAGCTGTTTGTTGTTTTCGAACGGTTGACGAACCATTCGAAAGGCGATTTTGTAACATTGAACCGATGAATATGTGAAAAATTCGTAATTTGATCCAGAGAAGAACAGTGAATTTTGTAGTATGAAGCGCTTTCCTTAGGTTTTTATTGCTTTGTCAAGGAATCTCAATCGATCAATTGATCGAATTGATTATTAAATTGAGATGAAAGAAGACGAAAATCGTTTAAATAGAGGTCTCGTTCCAGTTATAATCCATTTCATTTCGAATAACAAATGGTTGAGAGATAACAGCTGCGATTGGCTAGAAATACATGACACGTAGAGGACGCACGTTACTTACTAGAAAAATTTTCGATAAACGCGCTCAATATTGTTGTTGTATATTCGATCTGAGCTGTTCGATGCAACAAACTATTACAATAACTTCACTATTTAATACAAATGAGCATCCTATACAATTCAACTTTTCACTCCGTCTTCGACTGACTCGACATCTTGTTCATGTAACTATCTGCATTGTATTCATTCTCTCAACAATGTGATTCGGGCACATTAAAATCTGCTGTTATATTCATGTTCATACTTTTTCTTATTACTCAATTGGTTCTCATGATTCGACGGTCTGATCTATGGAATAAGAATTCATTAGATCGGCTGATTCTCTGTTTTGGCAATGCTCGTCGACAATTATTAATTCTTCTTCATATTCTTGATTTTATTTCTATTATTCAAACGATCTGCTCGTCTTCATTCACTAATGAGATCAATCTAATCCATGAAAAGCTCCTTGAATTGAATAGTATTCTTTTGCGTATATCTTATTTTCTCGGTACATCGGTTCTCCAAATATTTTTCTTGTCAGGCGACTTCTCCAGTACTCTCTATAGTGCAATGCTCGTCATTGAATACACACTGAAATATTTCGTTCAGACACTCTATCATTTCAATGGGAAATACGAAATAAATATGATTGGTCTTGACAATAATGATATACCATATTTACGTTTACAAAATGAAGATGTTGGTGATGACACACGATTGCTCAATGATATTGACTAATACGTACACAAACAAAACAACACAAAATGTTAAATAGAATCGAAATGTACATAGATAAATATGTTTTCAGTTCGAAGAGATTCTTCAGAGATTGATTGATGGAATCATCAACGGTGGTTTTGGGTGAGTTAAACGAGACGACGATGAAGATGAAGATGAATTGCCTGAATAACCATGATTTTCATAGACAAGTACAGTCACGGGTACATGACGTGTATTAGGTGTTGTACTGACTTGACTGAGGAGTTGCTTTCGTTTTGCTTTATAACGACGATTTTGAAACCTAAAAGAACAAGATTCTTAGGAATGCGGAAATCGAAGAGGAGAAAAAGATAACTTACCAAATCTTCACTTGTTGTTCTTGAAGCTAAAAGCAATAGATATTGTTACATAGAGTTGAAGAGAAAATTCGACTTACGCTCAGTAAGGTCGCTAATTCTGCTCGTTCTGTACTTGATAAATACTTTTGTTGTGCAAATCTTCGTTCTAATTCGATGACTTGTGCATGCGAAAATGCAGCACGTGAACGTCGTTTGGTTTTCTTAATTTGAATGGTACTATTATTCCCTCCGATGCCTACCATGGACGATGGTACCGACGACGATGATGATGTCAAATTTCGAAGACTCAATAAAAATGACTTGGCAACTTCATTGGTCGCATTACTAAATAAATGTTGACGATAAGCATCAATGCTATGTCGCATCGCGCTGATACTGCTACCACTTGTTGATGAACTATTTGAACAATCAGCGTTTTCATCTAAACAACGAAAACAGTTCGTATTAATTTGAAATATTGGCTAAGATTTTACCGGATGGATATTTATCTTTTCCAATCGATAAATCAGTTGCCTGTTGCTGTTGTAGTGAATGTGTTTGGTTATAGGTTGGAATAGCGTCATGAATAGGTCGTTTTTTCTTGACAACACAATCACGCAGAAGGGATTCGACATCGAATGGTTTTCCACCGATCATTGTTATTGTCCAGAAAAGTACCGAGAATGATACTTGTAGAGTTGAGTTGGAGAAAAGAAAAAGTAGATCAATTGATTGAGCATTTCTTTTGCTAATCTTTTTCTTCTTAATGTCTATTCACCAATCAGATGCGTATGCGATAAAAAAAGATGAGAATTATTTCCATTGGCTCGTTGTCTGTTTCCTTTCTTCTTCGGTTTAATCTATTGAGAGACAGGGAAAAGGAATGATCATCTCAGCATGATATAGAGATTTAGTATGCATTTGGCGTGTGCGTTGATCGTATGGAGTCTCATATTCAGGAAATGAGCAGAGAAAATAGAACAATCAAGTACAATATTGGACATTGTCGTTAAATAGACACAAAATAAGCGATTATCAATATTGAAGAGAAAAAAAAAGAAAAGACATGGCACGACATGAGGAGATAATTTCACTGAGCAACTCTTTTCCTTCGAGATAAAGACAAAGACGACACTAATCGATTCCAATCAAGAGAGTCTCTTGACAAACAATCATTTTCATGTAATGTCAAGCATCTGCAGATGCACATCGACAAAAAGAAATCGTTTTCTAACTGTCTTTGTTTCTCTTCATCTGATGGTGTCATCTTTGTCTTCTCTTTTTCACATCATATGCTTATTATTGTTTCTCTCTAATGATGATATGATCAGTTCTCTTCAATCAATAATGTACACGAGTCAAATTACCTTTCATATGCAATTGACTGCTGTTTTATCATTTGTTCGTCGAAAGATGAAAGTCATTAATCTCGAAGTTTATATACATATGCACAGAGAGAGAGAGAGAGAAAAAAAGACGCACAAATCAATAATCAATCATCGATCGCTGGTTTCCTACAGTGAACAACAACACTTTTTGTTTATAACACTTGCTCATAATCGTGTGCGTGTTCTCTATGAGCAAGTAGAATGTCAGAGAGACAAGAACAAACGGATGTAAACGATCAATAGCGAAACTCAAATTAACAGACATACATATACACACACGCACACACACATCCATATTGTCTACATCAATTCAATTGAGAGTAGGACAGTGCTCATGTTGATGATCATCATCGACCAGTCATCATTATCGCTCGACATTAACTAAATAACTAGAAGCGAATCGCCTGACTTTTACCAATCAATAACATTGGAAAAGAAAAGAATTTGCTCTTTAAATCAACTTTAGGAAACAATTATTTATCAACTATAGACAAAGACGACAAATATATGCCAAAGATCATACTGTTTTCAACGAATCACGAATATATCCATCTGTACACTGATACTATTTATAGGATTTCTGTTATTTGTCGGGGACATTCGACATGTTTGCACATCTATACATTTGATCTTTCGGTACTGTCAATAGGACGCTTCATTGACGTACTAGATTTGTAGTTACAATAATAATCAGACGAAAATAAATCCTGCTATTAGGACAAACATTGATTTGATTGGTACTAATAGTCTACATTGAAAATTCGGCATATTACTAATGAATATTTCAAATGTACCAGAACATGTTGAACAATCCAAAAACCTAAGATTCATCCAATGTATTTTTACAATTGTCACGGTGTTTTAATTTTGAAGTTTTCTTTACTATCTGCTAATACACGGTGACATTCGAGTTATTTAAATTTCATTTTTTGATTAAAAATAAATATAGATGGATTGCGAGAAGCTTGAAATCGACTCATCTGTATGTGACGTTCTTCTTCAACGAAGATTTCTGAACAAATGTTAAAAAACTTCTTATTTGATTAACTTTTCATGCCCGGTAAAAAGAAATTCCAGACAATTACTGTATGTTTGCGGATTACATAGAAAATCTACATCTATTTATAATTAATGTACTATTCTATCTCACATTAAAAAAAATGAATATCACATCGGCAGTACGCTTCGGTGACTTTTACAATTAATCCGTAAAGTAAGTGACATACGACTTGTCCTTTAAGTAAGAAAGAACTCCTTTATCTTCAACACGAACATTACAGTCGTACAGGAATCGTTATTTTGTTTATTCATAAGGGTAATAGAGATTTGTTTTCTTGATTAATTGAGCGTTTTGTTTCAGAAATCTGATGATATCTACGTGTCAATTAGCGCTAATAATTTGCGACATTTCTTTGGCACATTTCAAGGCTAATAACCTCTAGCAGTATATTATTTTGTTCTACATATTACCGGATATAAATACTCAAATGACGTTTGAATCTGGACATAGGAAGAAAACTTTACAAATTCATTTTCCTTTTATTTTATAAGATTCTCTTGAATGTTGTCATGGAAAAACTTGAACTTTTGAGAAATGTGTCGAGCAAAAGTTTATTGTGAATGAAAAGACGATGAAGCATTTCATTGAAAAGCGAAGATATTTACGAAATAACCTAAAGGAATTCAATCAACGAAATGAATTGCATGTAAAAATCAATCGGAACGTTCGTTCATTAACAAAATAGTTTCTGTTGTGTTTTTTTCTTCTTCTATGAATTAACATGTGGATAGTATGGATCTGAATGATACGGTGGTGGAACGAATCGTTGATGTGGACTACTATGTTCAATCTGCACAGGAATCGAAACGAATGTTTTCGATGGATCTTCATAGGATTGTGTTTGATAGTTTTGATAGTTTCCATCATCTCGGATTGTTCGAACAACGACACGTGGATGATGTTCGTGCATGGAAAGCATCTCAGGATATTGCGGTTCGTAGGAATATTGCGAATGAGTTGGAACGAAATGAGAGTCACTTTCGAATGGTACGTGCATACGCTCACGACTCGATTTCAACGAGCGTTGATTTGAAAATGTCGAATCCTCGTCACGATTATATTGAGATGTTCGATTATTGTCTTTGTTGGGTGCTGGCGCTGTTCCTTGATAGTCGCGATTATAGAGTCGATGATCACTAGCAGTGCTGGGATTGGTACTGCGAGTTGGAGTTGTATTTTGTTCGTTAGTGAACTCCTTCGGACTACCCATCGTGTTCGAAACATTTCCAGCAACTGTGGAATCCATTTGTAATAAACGTTGTTTATCATTGGCTAGAGGATCGATATTTGGCATTGTTTGAGCTTTTTTCACTGATGCTTCTCTCTTCTTTTCTAATTCGGTGATAATATGACGACGCTTCTGTGAATTCCTGAAAACAAAACAGTACAAACCAACGCATTGAATGACTTCGGCTTACCTCATTCGTCGCAAGAAGAATGTCAAAACAAACAATAAAGCGATAAATCCAATAGATGAAGGTATAATAATCAAATTCAACTTATTTCGATTGCGTTTATAGATTTTCACATTACCAATACGATAGACATGAGCGTGAACAGCTCGATTAACTTCATCCAGCCGTCGAATAATGGCATCTGAATAAATGCAGAACCTACATACCTTCTTTGTTTTTCTTTACGAAACTTACTGGTAATCAATTCTTTTGCAATAGGATGACGAGCACCTTGATCATCGATACAAATTCCGCGAATACTCAGATCGAGAAAACGAGCATCTTGTTTCGGATAATCAATTTCTTGTTCGAAAAAGCTAAAAGAGCAGAAGGAAGACGCAAATGTCAACGAGATAAACAATTTCTGTGTATATTTACATTGATTTACATGCAGTGCCTTTCTTCTCATCTGTATACTTTAATTCGGCATCAAGTGCGCGTTCCATTTTGTTTAACGTGTCGAGTTTCCACTAGTTAAAGATTAAGATAACGACGACACATTGAAAAAGAGTTAGCCTACTTCGTTTAATCGAAGATCCATCAGACGAATAACCAAATACGGACTTTCCTCTGCATAGAAAAATGATAAGTTCTAAGTTTCACTGTACAGTAGAAGTTATTGGATGGTTTACCTTTGAATTTTTGTGCTAAAGTTGGTGTTAGAAGAAGATTTAGTAGAAGAAGAAGAATGTATTTCATCACTGCCAAGCCGAGAATTTCAAGTATCTACACGATGAATTAGAAGAAAAAACCACACATTATAACCTTGGAATGCTTC